TTTTTTTTTCCTATCTGTAGACACTTGGGAAGAGGTACATGGATTTGAAGGCAACGTGGTGGGGGAACTTGACGGAAAGGGAACACGAACTCTACCACGAACGACCGGCCTACATTAGCATGAGAAATTATGTTGAATCCAATGGGGACGAAGCCATGTTACTGAATTGCACGTTCAGATATATAGTACAAGCCATGAAGAAAACTTTAAAAATACACGATAGGAATCGTTTGGCCGTGGCCATGTGGGATTGGAAGTTGGGCTGTATTGAAAGGTCAAAATTACACGGCTACTACGACACACTAGACACTGTGGGGATTGCACAAGAGCTGATTGATCTCAACGTTTTGGACCAACCAGCACCTCCCTTTATCATCTATCCAAGATTCTATGTAGACCCAACCTGGATGGATCCACACGCTGAAACGAAATCGGAACCCGAAGATTGAGAAGAAACCCTTGTTGATTACAAAAACGCAGTTTTAGAGATTTTTAGTTTATAGACATGTGAAAAAAGAACACTAAAAAAATCCATGGAAACCTTTGTCACTTCCTATGGCGCGCGGGCACCCTACCCCACCCTTATGTGGTCTTATTGCACCACTTCCGGTTGGCCACCATTTTGAATCAATTAACCATCGTGTTACGTCACTTCCGGTTGGCTGCCATTTTGAATAAATTAATAGCATTTTCTTGATGTCAATCAAAAGACAGCGCGTCACTTCCGGTTCAGCGCCATTTTGAATACATCAACGCCATTTCCGGTAAGGCGCCATTTTGAATACATTAACGAGCCGCCATTTTGAATACATTAACGAGCCGCCATTTTGAATACATTAACGAGCCGCCATTTTGAATACATTAACGGGGCGCCATCCTGTGACTGACATTACTACTGGCGCATATGATTCTCATGCCTGTGCTTATGCTATGCTTATGCGCTAGTGAAATCCACGCTTTTATCACTGTTTTTACTACATCCGTATGAATTCACGATCACTGATTATTATGCAACACCATCGCGTCACGTGCGCACTCAGCTAAAAAAAAGAGAAAAAAATGGTTTTAAACATATTTTACTTATGATGTGGTATAGCCAAACTCTCTCAGAGCGGCTAGGAACGCCTGGCTACGCAGGTAATTGGCAATTCCTTGCTTGGATAAGTGTTTGTCTTGAAACGGAGAATGTCTGGTGTTACAGTTGGATTAATGTGGTAAAAAATGCCAGTATGAATACTTTATGACGTCATTGAGAGCGTGTCAGTGGGAGGGCATATAACTCAAACCAGTCGTTATTTGGTCAGTTAGTAGTGAATTTTTAAACGAAACAAACAATTTATCATGCCATAAAATGTATATTTTTTCCCAGTCTTTATGAAATTTTGAATTCTATTATTTAACATTTATAATGAGACTGGGCTCTAGCCTTCGATTCCCTTATATATCACCGAATATGAGACATGCTCAGTTTTGGACTATGAACCGACTTTGAAGGCATTGCTCGATAAGGTCATATCAACCATGTTCTCTCTTTTCTCGATAATACCAGTCATTCTCATTAGCCAATCTGCATCTATTCCCTTGGATGAATTCACTCCATTTGGTAAAGAGAACGGTGACATTCTGATACTCCGAGGAAACGATGTGCTAAGCTCTCAGAAAATCAACATTTCGACTGTTTTTCCTTTCTTGGGCGAGAGTTTTACCTCCTTGTCTGTATGTATACCTGAAGTATATTTAACAAAAAGCGCACGATTTTTCGTTGTATGTGCTCTTATTGACACACTGTTGACGTAATTTAATGTTCTAACTCAAGTGGTTCACTGCAAAGTTTTAAAAATTTTATGACGTCAAGAGTGTGTCAATAAGAGGACATACAACGAAAACCAATGTGTAATTTGTTTTTTTTTTAACCAAAAAGTCTAAAAATTAGCGAAAATCATTATTTTCTTTCAACTGAGCGCGCGCGCGCGAGACGTGGTTTCAACACAAAGTACATGCCCTTTTATTGACACACTCTAATCAGTGAACGAGATTTTACATAAGTGTGGTTAAATTTGAACTTTGTTGCGGTATAAGAGGTTTGTGGTCGCATAGAAGAACAAGGCACACAACTTGCAACTACGTAGTATTTCTACTCTTTATTCGAACGTTTCGGCACTTCGGCCTTCTTCAGCAAATTTTTTATTGTTATTTTTTTACTTTAACATTCCTTGGCTTTGCCTTGAATGTACGATTTTCGAACGACAGTCAAAAGCGTATGAAATTATTATCTAGTTGCATTATTATTCTTTGTAAGAAACCCGTTTATATCTGACTTTAACCGTTTCCGCCTTTTACGAAGTGATTTTATTTTGTAGACGATCATTCTATCTCTATAATAATTCTATAATAATTCTATATTAACGTCAAAATCCCTTAATCACATCTTAAGGTTTATGTTACTGACATTATTCTTACATATTTACTACTGAAAACATCTTTTATAATCAAAACATGCTTCTGTTTCAGTGTAAAAATAGTGGGGAAGTGAAACCACATTACGCACACTGCTAATTCAAAACCTGATACACGTCGTGCTTACAATGTTTCTTACCAAAAAAGGTTTACTATTCAATTCACTATTGTAATTCATTCGACATTCGATGTTCCGGAAAAGTTTCTTCATAAACTTGTAATAAAAACATGTATTACAGGCAAATTTTGAGGTCTGGAACAGGTACACATACACCCTTTCCTCCACTCTTTAAAACTCAATGAATTAACGGTGGTCAAGATGGTCTTGACTAAACGCGTATGGCTGTACTTCATCAGTCACATGACAAAAAAAATGCGTAAGACAGAGAAGAATTATTTCCTTCGATGCAAACCAATGTACCTGTATGTAGTAGTTCTCGTTTGGTTTTGTTTTTTTCGTTTGTTTTTCCTTTGTGCGTGTGTGTTGTTGTTATTTTTTTTGTTTTGTTTTGCTTGAAAAACTGAGTCCTCTTTATTATAGGTAACAAACTACGGAGTAATATATTTCAAAGGAGGATCTTACGTAATTGGTCCATTCTACGCACTTTATGACACAACACAACGAGGTTGTATATGGTACAGACGAATCAACACCGAACACTTAATGAAAGAGGCATCAACCGACTTAAGAAGGACTTTCACAGAATTCCCGCGATTCTCAGCAATATGGATGTTTGTTGTTACATGGGAGGAAGTACCATTTTATCAAAGTAATGATAAGGTAGTGTACGGCATCTATTATTTTAAAGAGCTATCTTTTGAATCCTTTTATGATCAGAACTCGTTTTCAAATAAACAGGACTATAAATTGTTTCTGGAATTATATATGCCCTGCGTTTTAGCGCTAGTCATCCTATCTTATCTCTTTTTGGCGCGCAATACACCATGGGAAGGAGGAAGACAAACAAATGAGACGACAGGGTGACAATGCAATATTCTATTTAGCATATAATTATCCATGATTTCGAGATTTATTCAGGTTTGGAAATAGCCTCTATTCACTTCCAATATATTAAGCATGACAAAAAGGATGCTTCTTTTTTTCACTATTATAAATATTTCATAGGTAATGATAAAAAGATTATTCTTCTATTATTAATGTTTTCAGAATATTACCAACACCTTTCAGTTGGTATTGCTAACGGACGGACGTTATTCCTTTGTTCGTTTTAACTACCATAACGTCTCAAAGYCTCCAATAAAGACAAGTGGACGCAAAATTTTAGTAGGGGTATGTATAGCAAATTTCTCATATTCTATATTTCTGCGATGAAGTTTCTTACTGAGATTACAAAATAATTTGGCAAACACAATTGAAATCGATCAAAAGCATAATATAGGGCTGAGTCAAAGAAAGTGTGGATATCGTATTACATTGTCTAACGAACAATGCAAGACCGAAATTAGCCATGGGTTTTGCTAATTCATGGGAAAAAATAACAGAATCATTCTGTAAGATAGTCTGGGATAAACTCTGGTTCCGACCTCGGTTTAAACTCCATTGTAACACAAGGTAACAGAAAAAGTAAAATTTTGTATGTCAAACATCGTAGCCACAAGAACGCTGGAACAGATATAAGCTGATCTTTTTCGGATCTCGACCCGCAACTTCAACAAATGCAACGAATACATACTAATATGTCTATTGAAAATAGGTAATTGTTGTTGTTGTTTTCTCAATTCTTATAGAGTGGATTCATCGCTGGTAATTATTCCTACAGAACATTTGTAAATCATTTTCGAAATATAAGCGTATGGGATCTCCCTTCAGAAACAAATGTTGGCAAAATAGGAATGTGGATGTTCAGGACAGACAACATCACAATACAAGAACCAAAAAGACGAATCACGAAAGGTGAAAACAAATTAATATCCTATATCAACCCATTTAAGTCCATGACAAAAATTTTAATTTTTTAATTTTTTTTTAAAGTAAGGACTAACAGCAATGTCACAATTGTTTGTGCAATCAAAAGTTCTTATTCACTATGGCCGCCATGACAGTTTTCGTAATGCAAATTGGCTATGCGGTCATTCAGTTCAAATTTGGATATTTACTACAGATATTTCAATACCTTCAAGAACTGTCTTATGCGAGAACATAAGGCATAGAGCTAGTCGATCGCTTAAAATTTGCCATTTCTTCTAGTGTTTACCCACTGAAAGACCACGTGGCTAATTTGCATTCCAAACGGAAGCCATCATGGCGGCGATCGAGAATGAGGCTGTATTCTGATCAAGAGATAATTCAGAGTTATGCTGCCAAAAAAATGCTGATTTTCTGAACTAACGTTTTATATTGTCTTTTATCAGCTTCGACAACAGACACTTTCATGTATGTTAGACAGAAAGACAGGCAGGAAGACAAATATAGACAAATTAGCATATTAATAAATCCACTTCGGCTGGCAGTAGCCAGTACATATGATATCTGTATATGAATAAATGCCTATATTGGTACCGCATTTGGTGTTATAATTATTGATTTTTCAGTCGGTTTGTTGTTTTGTTTTCTGTCATCTTGTTCAGTACTGTATACATTTTTACTACGTGCATGTATATTTTCCTTTTGTTGTTGCTGTTGTTTTGTTTATCAGATTAGGTGACAAGAAAGCACAGAAAAGGTAAGAAGTATGGTGTAATGATATCATTCTGAACGCTACTCTTCAGTTCCTTTACATTGCCGTATGGAAAAGCCTGCAAGAACACACCTAAGACCAGTCCTCCGTTAATGGGAGTCAGGAAATATTTTACATTGTCATTAACATATAAAGTAAACGAAAAAAACATATACATGTATGTTATATAAAACAGAACTCCTGTAACATAAGAGTTATTACTGACGAACTTCAAAACACATATTATTGATTATAATTATAGGAGTATGCCAGCCCCTAAGAGCAATCCTCCTTAGTGGTCCATTGAACAAAAACCCCAGAAAAAAACGCTTTCCAAGAGCCAAGATAGAATGTGTAGAAAATTCCAGTCATTCAGCCAGTTAGTTACATTTAAGGTGAACATAACGGCATTCGAACGATCCAGTCAGATTAGTCTGATGCTTAAATCCTTTCTCGCAGGTACAATCTTCAGTAATGCTTGAGAGTATGCAGCCAAGAGCAAAACATGGTGAGCTACGCACACAGTGTTTGAGCGATACGAGCAACAGCAACGAAAAGTGACTTTATCAAGGTTCCTTCACAAATATGACGCAATGTGCAAGTCAAATCAATACCAGAAAAAAAAAAATAAGCTGTCGGCACATTCTGCATATTGTGACTTAACTGTTGAGAAGCACTTTGATATTGACGAACACATCCAAAGTGTGAATTAAAATTCTTTCAGGTATCATCTTGGAGCTAAAATTAAAGAGAGATAATTAACTTAACAAACATTGTAGTTTGTTAATAAACAATATCTTTTTTTACAAGCAGTGAGTGTTTTTTTACTTGTTGAGTTGCGCAAATAACACGTAAAAACTAAATTTATAATAATGCCAATGGAAGCTGTAACAGTAGCTGTACACTGTACATGTGATGAGAATTAGAACAGCGCAGAGCAACAGCAAAACAACAACCTTGTAATAAAATCAACATTATCAACAAAAACCAGAACTTGAACAAGAAACAAAAGTGGGTATAGAAGGCATTAGCAAACCAAGTCACATGTATATGTAGCTGTGGATGCTGTACTATTCAACAATGCAGCATTTAAATTCATTTATAAAACTTATTAATAATGCATAAGCTATTGCTCCAATAAGGGCTGACCATTTAATCAGGTGATTGACCTTGTAAATCTGATACAATCACTAGTGTTGTAT